GCGAAAGTAGAGGAAATCAGCAAACAACGAAAGTAAAGAGTAAAGAAGATGTAAACGACGCTATTCGTTTTCGTGCAAGGCGAACGAAAGAATAGCGAACGTTAAGGAAAGGAGAAAACGACGGATCTACAGACCAAGAAAGGCGAAAACCGACATTATTCGTTTTCGCCCGCATTGCGAACATAGAGGAAAGCAACAGACGACGAACAATACCAGTGGCCATTCGCACGGCCACGTGCGGCTTGTATTCCCTGCGAACGACGTAAAGAAGACCAAGAAGAAAAAGCACCATCTGTTTGTGTGTATTCACATATGATGTCTGTATACGCAAGTATTGATCATATAGAAGAAATGCATGGTGTAGCAAATTAAGCAAGCGGACTCAACTTAAACTTTATTTAATGTAAATTTAATTCACAGACTTTAAAATAAGCTAATATTGTAATATGCAACGCGACGAAATTTTAAGCTTAACAGTGGCAGAGTTGAAGGAAAAATTGAAAGAGTTACAGTTGAAGCATTCAGGCGCTAAAGCAGTTTTACAGGAAAGACTATTGTCCTATTTTGGATTCGATCAAGACGAAAACGAGGAATCTATTTATGAAGAAACGATTAACATAACTGGGGACGAACAGACAGAAGACGCTCAAGTTTTAAATCCAGTAAACGAAGCAGCAGTGGATAGTTCGGTAAATATGGCGTTCACATTAAGAGACATCGAAGATTCCCTTTTAGCATTTACTGGCAATGGCTCTCCGGAAGTTGATGATTGGTTGCATGATTTTGAACTTAATGCTTTAACAGTGAATTGGAATGATTTACAAAAGTTTGTTTATGGCAGGACATTAGTAAAAGGTGCAGCGAAATTATTTTTGAGTAGTCAATCCGGTATTAATGATTGGAATTCTCTGAAGGAAGCACTAAAACGTGAATTTAGTGAAAAGTTAACAGCAAAGCAGCTCCATAAGTTATTGGAAAATAGGAAGAAGAGTCATAAGGAAAGCTTAATTGAATATTTCTATAGTATGTGTACTTTGGCAAGTCAATCCCAGTTAGATGAAGAAAGCATTATTGAATATATTATTGAAGGCATTCAAGATACCAAGCAAAACAAGAGCTGCTTATACCAAGCAAACAATTTCAAGGAGTTTCGTGAGCAACTTAAAATTTATGAAAAGATCAGTTCGAATCAAGGAAGTACACTAAAGACAAAATCAAAATTTGAGAATAGTTCGATTCAAATCAAGGACAATAGGCGTTGTTTCAAATGTGGAGGTAACAACCATATTGCAAAGGATTGCAAAGAAAATGCCGTCAAGTGTTTCAATTGCAATCAGCTAGGCCACAAGGCAAATCAATGCGAAGCAAAAGGTCCAAGAATGGAAAGGGAGAAGAAAATGTCGAATGTCCAGCAATTTTCTCAGACCAGTTTCAATCGGGCTTTTAAAAATGTTGCCATCGGTAATATAGAGATCACTGCATTGTTTGATTCTGGCAGCGATATTTGTACGATGAGCGAGAAAGTTTACAGAAAGATTTTCCCAGTTGCATTGAAAAATGATGTAAAAGAATTGATCGGAATAGGAGGCAAGAAAATCTATACATTGGGTTCGTTTAATGTGGTCACTAAGTTGGACGATGCTCCTTTGGAAATGTGTTTTCACATAGTCCGTGACGATGATACGCTGTACGAAGGTGTGATCGGAAGTGATGTTCTCGATTTTGTCAGTGCGAGCATAGGAAAAAAAGGAGTGTTCTTTCATTCGACAAGTGAAGGGTGCCAGGTTATGGAAGGAATCAGTTCATCGGAAAAAGCAATTAGCAGTAGTTTGGCAAAGGGAAGCCGTGACTTAGAGTTCACTCAACATAGTGATACTCAAGGGACCAGGCCTTCAGAATCAGCGAGTTCAATAAATGATTTGGAAAATGCGTTCCGTCAAATACTGTCTACCAATGTTATCGAAGAGTTTTCACGAGGAATAGAGCTGTCGCATTTGAACCGTGATATGAAGTCAAAAATAGGGAGATTGGTAGAAAATTATAGCCCAGTAAAACCAGAAAGAAGCCCTGTCGAAATGAAAATAATATTGTCAGATGAAGTACCAGTCCGTCAAAGACCTAGACGTTTACCTTTCGTGGACAATGAGAAAGTCGATAGGCAGATCAGGGATTGGTTAAAGGAGGGGATAATTCGACATAGTGTGTCCGAATACGCTTCCCCTGTGGTGCTTGTCGCCAAGAAGGATGGCTCAAAAAGACTTTGCTGCGATTATAGAAAACTTAATGAGAAGATAATTCGCGACAATTTTCCAATGGTGTTAATTGATGATGTTTTGCTCAAACTTCAAGAAGGACGTATTTTCACTACATTGGACTTGTCTAATGGTTTCTTTCATGTCCCGGTACATGAGGATTCTCGTAAATATACTTCTTTCGTCACACAAAGTGGACAATATGAATTTAATTACGTACCATTCGGGATTTCTAATTCACCCCCGGTCTTTATGAGGTATATATTTGCTGTTCTAAGACCATTGATAGACGACGGTACATTGATCCTATATATGGACGATATCATTATTCCATCAAAAGATGAGCAAGAAGGACTCAGAAAGTTAGAGAAGGTATTGTGCCTCGCAGAGATTTCAGGATTGCGCATTAAATGGGGAAAATCTCAGGTGTTACAGCGCAAGGTGAATTTTTTGGGCTACATAATAGAAAATTCAACAATAAGACCATCTAAAGAGAAGACTTCGGCAGTTGAAAGCTTTCCAATTCCGAGAGACCGGAAACAAGTTCAACGTTATTTGGGCCTCACATCTTATTTCCGTAGATTTGTTAAGGATTTTGCTGTCGTTGCCAGACCACTGACAAATCTGATGAAGAAGGATGTTTGTTTCAAAATGGGCGAGGAAGAGTTAGCAGCATTCAATCAGTTAAAAGTTTATTTATCCTGTTCCCCTGTTTTAAAACTGTTTGATCAGAAGGGCTATACAGAAGTTCATTGCGATGCAAGTATGTATGGGTATGGTGCCATACTCTTACAAAAGGACTCGGAGGACCAAAGTCTCCACCCGGTAGAATATATGAGTCGTAAGACAACCCCAGCTGAAGAAAAGTATCCTTCATACGAGCTTGAAGTACTCGCTATAGTGCAGGCTCTTAAGAAGTGGAGAGTTTATTTGCTTGGTAGAAAGATAAAGATCGTTACTGACTGTAATGCTTTTGCGTTAACGATGAAGAAGCAAGATGTTCCAGTGAAGGTATCTCGTTGGGCCATATTTCTGCAGGACTTCGATTATGAAATTGAGCATCGTTCAGGGACAAAAATGAAACACGTCGATGCATTGAGTAGAGTGCATTGTTTATTGTTGGCAGATTCACTAAGACACCGAATAAAGCAAGCTCAGCGTCAGGATGAGTGGATAGCAGCAATTTGTAAAGTGTTAGAGTCCGGTACTTACGACGACTTTTATTTGAAGTATGAAATCTTGCACAAGGACCCAGTTAAGGAATTGATTGTAATACCAACCAGGATGGAAAACGAAATCATAATGACAGCTCATCGTCAAGGGCATTTTGGTGTTAAAAGAACTACCGATTTAGTGCAGCGAGAATACTTTATTCCAGAGTTGTTAGGGAAAGTAGATAGGATTGTTAAGTCTTGTGTAGAGTGCATTGTGAGTGACGCGAAATTTGGAAAGAAAGAAGGGTTTTTGAATGTAATCGACAAATCTGATGAGCCTTTGCAAACATATCATATCGACCATATCGGACCGATGGAGTTGACTAGGAAACAATATAACCACGTTTTAGTAGTTGTCGACGCTTTTTCTAAATTTGTTTGGCTTTATCCAACAAAGAGTACAGGCGCCGATGAGGTGGTTGACAAGTTGCAGAAACAGGGCGAAGTATTTGGAAACCCAAAGCGCGTGATCACCGATAGAGGTACCGCATTTACTGCACACGTGTTTGAGGAATATTGTAAGGAACAGAGTATCCAACATTTGCTGATAGCGACAGGAGTGCCGCGTGGTAATGGACAGGTGGAGCGAATTAATAGGGTGGTCACTACTATGTTAACCAAACTTTGCGCAGAGGATCCGAAAGCCTGGTACAAGCATGTAGGTAGGGTACAATCGTTTATAAATTCCACCCCTCCGAGAAGTACTAAGATATCTCCATTTAAGATTCTGACAGGCATACAAATGAGAACCAAGTATGACAGTGATATAGAAAAGCTTGTAGAGGAAGAGTATATTTTGGAGTTGCAGCAGGAGAAAGAAGATATTCGCAAGACAGCTAAAGAGAACATAGCACAAATACAAGATGAAAATCGCAAGTTATTCAACAAGTCCCGAAAGCCAGAAAAAGAGTACCAAGTCAATGATATGGTCGCTATCAAGCGTACCCAATTTGGCGCCGGATTGAAGCTGAAGGGAAAATTCTTGGGTCCTTATGTTGTGACGCGTAAACTAAGACATGGCCGGTACATTGTTGAGAAAGTGGGCGATGGTGAAGGGCCATTAAAGACCAATACGCTGGCAGAGTATATGAAAATGTGGTCTCCATCATTCGGGTCGAATAATGAATCAGGACGGCCGAATGTAGGGTTGGCAGCTCTTGAACCAGCAGATAATCATCGGACTATCGGGGTGGTCAGTCCAGGGTAGTCTAAGAAAGTATATCGTTTTAGGAGTAAGAGTTTGACTTCGGAAGCGAGCAGACGTTGTGAACAAGTTATGAATAAACTTTAATTTAATTTGATTTAATTTGCACATGAATAAATATTGTACTCAATTGATTAAAACGACGACGTGTGGTGTACTTATTATTGACGGAGTTTCTGGAGCAGATTTTTACTCACTCGTAGGGAACTCACTAAAGATCCCTACATATATATACACACATATATGTATATTATATATAATAATTTAAACTAGATGTCTAAGCAATTTATTTCAAATTGTAATTGTATGGTAAATGGGTATGTCGGTATGTATGTGTGTGTGTGTGTGGGTGTGTGTGTGTGTGTGTGTGGGTGTGTGTGTGCGCGTTGAATTACTTGTAATGTCTTTTATGCATTCAGGGTAACTTTAAAATTATCTGGACTTAGTCTCTATGTACTTCTCGCTATATTTACAATTACAACGTACAGCTTACAATTCTCAGTGTTAAAAGTTAAAATTTTCAATTTGAGTTTCACTTTGTATGTTTAGCTAAAATCGTTTTTTGATCTCACTCAATATCACTTGATTTCACTAGATTTTCAATTTTAGTTTTTGTTTGGTTTGGTTTCGTTTTGTTTTTCCGTTTAGCCATTTATGTATATAGTATGTATAAGTACAATTAGTAAGTACAATAGTAGTGTAGTTAAATAGTAAGTATAATAAGTAAAATTTCAACTACCTGGAGTTGCTGCCTTGCGCTTTTAAAACTAGAACAACAATCATATATCCATGTATCGTATATTTAGTATTTACGCCTAAGCTATAATGTATGGAGACATTTTCTTAATCACTAAACATTTATCGCACTAGTAAAGTATTAGTGTGAGTGTAAGTGTGGGTGTGCGTGTTGGTGTTGGTGTTGGTTTGAGTGTACCTCTGAGTGTGTGTGTGTGTGTGAATGTGAGTAGAAAAACTTCTTGTATGTGTAGTTAACAGTAGTAGTTGTAAGTATAAGTACATGCTACTATTGGATTAGAGTAAGCCTACAGTCGAGTCGAGTTTAGTGAGTTGAGCAGAAAAAACGTCTACTATAAAAATACATATGTATGCATGTAAGGGTATACGTTGTTAGTACGTATGCACGTGTGTATGCGTGTGTGTGTGTGTGTGTAACAGAAAAAACATGTATTATATATGTATCTAGGTATGCCGCTGACTACTACAGTAATAACAATTCAATTTGAACTTTTACCAATCCATGGCTATAGTAATACCTTAGACTAGGACTTGTGGATCAGAAGGATCAGAGACAGAAGAGTGTGTGCTTTTGTATAGAGACTTGTAAATGTGTGTGGTTCGAGAAGAATATTATCAACTATTACGAGTACATAAAATTGTCGGTAAGTAATAGTAATTATATATTACACGATAAATTCTTCTGTATTTATTTCTCTACTTAATTGCGTGAACTGAAGTGGGCTAATTATTAAATTCTAACAGTTTGCTTTGATTTGTAAACAATGCTTTCTGCTTGCTTAACGCGATTGTCAATATATGTACGTATGACTGCCGGGGCTGCATTAAGGTCCTTCCGATCCCTATGCTACTAATGATGCGGACGCCGTGTTGGAGCTGGAACTGGAGCTCGATGGTTGATGATGCTGCTGTTGCTGTTGTTGCTGTTGTTGTTGTTGTTGTTGTTGCTTTGTATTGGGCGACTGATCGGGATCCTGAACACGATGCGTCTTCATATGCGCACTGCGACTCTTGACCTTATTGAAGACTCTGCGAAGAGAGTGAGAGAGAAGCAGAAATGGACAAGTGATTTTATTAGAGTGGTCCGTACACGTTGTGGGGAGGAACGTGAGACTATTTACACACAAACAGACTATGGATAGATAGCTATGTACGATTATATAATACTTATATATACATACGAAGGCACAAATAGACATTAAGATTAGAATATAGATCATGCTTCGATAGATTGGCGTTGATAGAGCGGCATGCAAAAGGTATGAAGAAAAGCGTTGAACTGTTCTCTTTTTCTTCTGTTACTTAACCTTGTGTGGAGTTAAAATTGCTTTGTTGTTATTATTAACAATGGAGAGTAGAGAGGTTTGTTGGTTGGTTGGTTAATTGGTCGATTAGTTTCGGAAACTTAAAACAGAAAAATAGTTGGTTAATAAGTAAAAGAACGCAAGAATAAAGTAGCTTGTTTTTAAAATACGTATATGAGTACACCCAGACGAAAATACTCGTACATTGCAAAATGTAATACAAGTACCTGCCAGATTTTGTGTTCATTTTGCTTAAACACAATTCATTATTTACTTTTTGGGAGTTCTATAAGATCATCAAATTTTAAATTTCAAATATATAAAAAGACAAAGCAAAGCTATTCGAATTGCTTAGCTAAGTAATTTTTTCATTTAGCTTGGTTCCATTAAATGAGGAAACTAGACATAAAGACTTTTTCCATCCATATACAAACTAAGTTTGTTAGGGAAGAGTTTGAAAGATAGAAAACCGCTTATACGTAATCAGGAATTAAGTTCGAGAGACTCTAACGTTCTGCTCGTTCGATTCTGAGTTGACATCTGCTGCTATTACATCCATCTACAAAATACATATTGGATGTGCTATATACTATATGCACTTATGTTCAGCGGGCTTAACGGTGCAATCAACGGAGAGAACAGTCGAAGGCAGTAAGTTCATTTTCTGCACACATTAATGTGCTCGTACCAGTATGTGCAACAAATAAAGTATAAGTTATGATTTCGATTTTGGACACATTTTGTAATCATTTATTATTTACAAGTTTTTGACGAAGCTACTAGTTTTAAACGACAACCAATAAAATTCAAGGCTGAATTGAAAATGTAGCTTCGTTTTTTTTTAGACAGGATAATTATTATAAAATCAATTTATAATCAAATATTAATGAAATTTAAATTAGTCCAAAATTGTTATTAGATTGGAATCAAAAGTGTGTGTACTTATATCGTATAGAACTAAAATATCTTTAACTGGCAACTTATTATAAAAAAAGCTTTGGATAAATCTAGCAGCTCAGTGCCGAAATCTCGATAGATACATACTTGTATAACGAAAACGAAGTTCACGAGTAAATAAAATTGACAATAAAAACCACTTAAATTAAGTTAACATGGAAACGGTTTTATTTAATACGTATTTTCTCTGGGTGTGCTCAAGATAATTGTTAATATGTGCGTTTGAATGTTATAGTACATTTATATAGGATCACAGAGGCGGCTGCCGTTCAGTGGTGATCGCCGGGAGCCATGTTTATAATTTTGCATTATTTTTGAGACCAATTCAGTTGCAGAGGATCACGCTTGAAGCAACAAGCACTGTTATATGTATATTGATAAAGATTTCACATTAAGAATGGATTAATAAATTTGAAAACGCACCCCGAAACCCAAAATACTGTGGCTTGTGGTTATACATAAGTATTTACAAAAGTATTAACTGTAAATGGCATTTGGAGCTGTACGATTAGACGGAAAGAATAAATAAAACGAACACAAACGATTTTGGGACAAATTAGAGAACATATAGTCGATATATAAATGAGCCGTAAATGAAACAAAGAAAGGAACGCAAAGTAAACCCAAATAATAAGCCGTACTTACCGATAATTCTTCTGCATTCTACTCTCTATAGGCGCTCTGTGTCTGTGAGTGTGGGGGCTGATTCAGATTTCAGATTTCAGTAACGTCTATTTGCGACTTGTGACTCTTCGCTTTAAAATTTCGATTTATTTTAATGTTTTATTCAGTTAATGTTTTATATACGTTATATAGTAGTATGCAGTAGTAAGTATATGTGTAGTTTGATTGATTTGGTATTTTGGTTTGGTTTTGATTTTTGTTTTTGTTTTTGTTTTTCAATTGGCATCATGGAACAATACAATACAACAACAATAACAACAATTAATATCGCTTGATGGAAACGCTAGGTAACTAAAATTCGAGGATTGGGAAACTTGTCATACGCAATAAAACGTAACTGAAGAGTTCGATAAAAATGCTACGGCAAACCAAGGAATTGAAGAGCAAGAAACAGAGAAAGATAAGTAGAGAGAGAAGAGAGAGAAAGAGAAATATATATATGGAAATCAAATGTGAATCAACAAAACAAAAATGGCGTTCAATAATAGCGATTTATAACTAAAAGGTCAAACTCAGGTACAGTTGGCACAGCATGGCGTACGTTTTAATGGAAATTAATTACGATATAACGTGCTTTACGATCTCAACACAATACGGGCACTCAAATCGTTGACTATGTTTGCGAATTTTCTGATAACATTATTTTTTTTCTTTTGTATTTTGTATTTTTTTGACAGTTTTGATAGTAGAAATTTGCTTGGGGGAATCTTACTTGCCGCACACCTTGCAGGGGAATTCGCCGTCCTTGGCATTGTTGGAATTGTTGGGTTCTTTCGCATGGCTGTTTGCCACGGAGGATGTGGTGGAGGCAGCATGGCTGTTGCTGCCTCCGCTATTGGAAATATTGGCATTGCTATTGTTGTTGTTGCTACTGTTGCCATTGCTACTGTGGTTGTTGTTGATGATGCTACTACTGTTGTTAGCGTGTATTTGTGCCTGACTCGCATTGCTGCTGTTGCCGGCCAGAGGCGCGCCTGCGTAGCTGTTGTTCGCATTGCTACTGTTGATGCTGTTGGGGGCGTTGGAACTGTTCGAAGTGGCATGCTGATTGTTGTTGCTGCTGGTGTTTCTGCCATAGGCGTGAATGCGCACATGCCCATGCAGCGCCGCCTTGGAACTGAAGCTCTACAAATGGATGACGGGCGAGCGAACGAGCGAACGAGCGGGCGGACGGGCGGGCGGTTGGTTGTTTGAGCGGGATGGTTATGTACAAGAAAGAGAGAGAAAATAAACAGAGAGTCCCAGTGAGGATAAAGGTGAAGTGTGGACATGTGGGCGTGAATAACTATACGTGGATGTGCAGGACTAGACATGCTGCTGCAACTGAAGCACTCCACTTACCGCTGAACAATCGGCTATCTCACAGACATAGGGCTTCTGCTCCACCACCGGTGTCGTGGGTGTCACAGGTTCCATTTTCAAATGCGACACCTTATAGTCCACGCACAGTTTCTTCCAGAAGTAGTACATTTGCACGCAATCCCCCGAGGACTTTGTCAGAAGCTAAATCAAATATTAAATATTGTGTGAGTAACTGGCAATTCTCATTTGGCACTCTTACTATATATGCTGGAACTAAGAAGCATCCTTGCACTCAATATCAAGCCCAACCTTATTATTTAAAATAACAATACTTATCATACAAAATCGAAACCTAAAAGTTTCACTATAACACCAAGTTAGTTCAGCTCCCGACTTAAAAAATACTCATACAGCAGTATTCATCTTTCAAATTTTCTATTTCAATTAATCGTTAAAGGGTACTCGTGAGCTCTTGGAATGCGTCGTAATATTATGAAATTATAAAATAATGTGAATAATGGACGACACTTACTTCATTAGCAATTTTTCCAAAGTCTTTGCCATGCTTTTCTAAGCCGCGCAGAAACAGTTCCAGCTCTTGAGCATTCCACTTCATTTGGAAGGCACTCGATTGGGTCTGCAGCAGCGTGAGAACCGCAGCCGCCGAGTTGCCTTGAGCCTTGAGCAGCGCTTGCAGCGCCACCTCCTCAGAGTGGCTGCCCATGGGCACGGCTGAAGACTTGCTGAGATCTATGTAGCGCATTAGTATCTTTTCGTCCGTCTGCACGCTAGGATCCCACATAAGCTCGGCACCCAACACCTCGTCTGCTGATTCTTGAATTGCTCGACAAGCGGGAATTTGTGCCTGATAGGTTGAGCCTAAATTTACCTTGGACTCATCGGAGAAATCGACGAGTCCTACAGGATCTCCAAAGTCGTCGTCGAATACATCGAACAACCCCTGACCAAGCTGCTTGCGCACATTGCAGTACAAGCCAGTGCCTTTACGGTCCGGATTGAGGATCGGCGCTGGGGTGTAATGCGTCCGTGATGGTTTCCGTAGCTTGGAACGATGAGGCGAAAGCGTATGGAATTTGGAGAAATTATGCGCATCCTGTGAGCCATTAGGTCGCAGCCGTCGCTTAAGTATGGAATTGGTTTGATTGGAAAGTGGTTGCAAGTTCGTCACGGTGGCGCTAGGCGCGGGTGTGGAAGCGACAGCCACGGCAGGTAAAGTCGATAGAAGGGGTTTGTTATTGCAGGCCACATACATCATGCTATTGTCCAAAGGTCCAGATGTACCGATTCGATTAGCATTGGCATTGCAATCGACTGGCAGCAAGGTGACCTTTGCGTCAGAGATGTCTTGTTTAATGTTACTGACCAAGCCACCATCGCTAAAGCTGCTACCGACTACGGCACCGCCTCCACTATATATCAAGGGCTGTAAAAGATTGTTGAGCGCCATCGGCTGCTGATTGCTGGGATCTAAGAACTGGGACTGATTTTGTACGGGCTGAAGATTAGAGACGGCGCCAAATTGCATTCCATTTGTAGCCGAACATCCTCCTCCCGAAGCAGTTGTAAGTGGCAGCATAAAGTCCTGCTGTTGCGCTTGAGCCTCTACTAATTGAGGTTGTCCACCTGTTTGCTGCTGTTGAAGCATCTGCTGGTGGTAGAGTGGCTCCGGTAGCTGTTCCGCCGGCTGCACAGGTGCTATGGGCAGCTGTCGCTGTTGTCCAAACTCCCGCGGCGACGAAGAAAGCAATGGATCCTCAGAATTGGGCATCATTTGGGACTGAAGGCCTAATCCGGGCAGATAGTAGAGATCAATAATATTTTCGCCTTGCTGTTCGCTGCTCATCTGCAATTGTATATTCTCATCTGGTAGCACCTCACGTAGGACCTGCTTGACATCGTCAGCGGATCCTATGCCACTTGTGAAAAATGATTCGGACAATGGGGACGTGGCATTACGGGAATCATTAAGAAACTCCTGATCCTCATCCAGGAACGAGAGATTCGTCTCTGCGAATTCGCGTAAGTCACACTCAGTGTCGTCTTCTGTGCTATTGAGTAGATCCTCGACCTTAATCGAGGAATCGAAAGTACTCTCCTCGAGCACGCTCTTTAGCTTAAGTATTTTCTCATTGTCACTAAGCTCCTGCTGGGTCTGATCGTCCGTCTTGAAGTAGACGTGCGAAAAGTCCGTCTTGTCGCCAAAGAACGTTTGGCTGGCGTCCACAAACTGGGCGGCTGCATCCTCAATAAAAGGTGATGATTGCGCCACGTTCTCGTGGCTTGAAGGCGGTGTCGGATAGGCCAAAGGTGAGTGCAGCGGCGAAGCTAGCACACCAAGCTGTTGTTTGAGGTCGGCGGGCAGGTTAAGCGTGGTGCTGCTGCTGCGCATGGAAGCGATGGCCTGGATCTGGGAGCTGTTTTGCATAATGAGCTCCTTGGAATGGAATTGCTGGAAGGTGGGCAGCGCCGTTGTCTGACTGCAGTGAATTGACTCAGGCTCGAGCTTGACCAGTTGGGCGTTATCAGCATCGCTGATCAACGCAAAGTCGGCATCGGAATGTTCGGTTTTGATGTGCGAGACATCATCGTCATTGAGTAGCTCCATTGTATCCACGGTCTGCAGTAGCATTTCCGTATCGGACACATTGTACACCTCGGCATCATCAAACAGGTCAGATGTATCGGAGGTGTAGGTAACGGTGTAGACATCGCCCCCTCCGGTACCACCACCGCTATTGTTCTCGTGGCTGGGCGCAATGGTCAGCGAGAGCGGGGTACCATCAGAAAGTGAGATGCTAGCAGGCGTTGACGATCGTGCGCCACTGACCCCGGATACAACGCTTCCCATGTTGCTCAGTTTCGTCTTAGTGGAGACCACCTGCACGTCCGACGGTATTATGACCGTTCGATTATTATTCGTAATGATCTGTCGCCCAGCTTGGGTTGTCGTTATAGTAGAGAGATCTGAATTGGTAGCTCCACTGCTAGTGCTGGTCATCAGCAAATTTGTACTGCTTTGCGTTTGAGTTTGTGCTTGGTTCTGAGTCTGAGTCTGGATTTGGGTCTGTGTTTGTGTCTTCTTGGCAGTTACAGCTATGCGGGTGCCCCGTTTCAACAGCTCGATGAGCGTGGAGTCCTTGGGATCGCCCCCGTTCTTCTGACCACTGCCTGTCAATGCTGCCAACGATCCCATGGTGGCCGTAGTAGGTACATTGTTGGTGGTGATGGTAATGGTATTGGCACCACTGCCTAAGTTCAGCGTCTTTTGTTGCTTCTGGCTGCTAAATATTTCAATACTCTGGGGAAGACCAATCTGCTGTATACTCAGGCCGTTACTGCTTTTGATAGTGGTGGCTGCCGGCAGTACCGCCGTTGTGGTGGTTGTACCGCTTGACAATGTCTGACTTAGGCTGCTGCTACTGGCTTTGGGGTTGAGAAAACTCTCCAAATCGCTAATTGATCGGCGAATGGTGTTGCTCGTGTTGTTGGCTACGCTACTGGGTGGTGCAGGAACTACGAAGGCACCCTGAAAGAAAGGGAGATATTAAAAATTATTTTACAAATCAATTACATCATATTCCACATTTAAAAAGACAAGATTGTTCTAACGCAACAATCACTTTGAGTTTTTCAACGCCACTTACCTTAGTTATGTCTTTGCGCTTGCTAATGATTTTCTCCTCGATCAACGCACGCACTCCTATACTGGCGGTCTGCAACGGCGGCCCACTTGAGTCCTTCTTCTCATTTCGTTTCGTATCGGGGTCTTTTTTGAAGTAACCGCCATGCAGACGCATGTGCCCATTGAGGGCGGGTATGTTTTTGAACTTACGGTGACAAAGATTGCACTCGACAGGTTTCTCAATCTTGACAATATTAAGCAAGTGCGGATTAATAGCAGCAACTAACTGCTGACTAAGGTCGTCATCCTTGACATCCACGGGCGAAGCAGTGGACGTGGCAAGCAAATCAGCGCCATCCTCAACAGTTACAGTGACATTTTGTGAGTTGTTGTTCAGCTGTAAATGAACAGGGTAGGACCATAAAAGAAACATTTTTAAAAATGTGGAGTTGTATAAAGTTAATGCCAAATGATAGACAAAGTACAAAGTAACTCGACCTATTCATAAGATTTAACTAAATTTCATAAAATCTATCTTTAGAAGACACATAGCGATGAAAGATTTTTAATATCCATTCTGAGTCGAAATAAAAAAGATGCTGATATTAACAGATTTCATAAGATCAATTTTGGTTTGAGAATTTAAGTAAAGGGGGTGGAAAATATAATCAGAGATTGTATGAACACACTGTAAAGATGATCCTAATGATGATCCTAAAGATGATCAGGTCATAACCCGATAGTGGGTCAAGAAGTCAAGAAGAAGAGGGATACTAAAGCTTGGACAACATATACAGACAGGCCTTAAAATTTTTATACAGATGGTATACACATGTGTTTGTATTCGTACAACCATGTATGTATTATGTGCTTACAGCCATTCGCAGCTCAAAGAGTGCATCTAATACAAATATCTAAATGTTACTTTAAGCTACGAAAAAACCCAAATAACAGAATCGTCGTTTTATTTTTCATTGAACAAGATCAACTGTTGAAATGAATATGGCATCCAAATTGAAATAGATAAGTATACGAGTCTTTATATGGAGTGGTATGGTCACACTGGCCGTTTTTCATGAAACAAATATTTATTTATTTCAGGATCTCTACAATCTTTATTTTAAATTACACCCAATTTAAATATTTGTTAATAAATTATTCAGGGTTGACTTCAAAAGTCCTGCTGGATCCACAAATCAAAAAGATTTCAAGCCAGAGTCACTTCCGTGAATTTAAATCTAAATCTTCTTAAAGTATGATGCAACACCAAGTGCGAAAATATTACTGTGTATGGTACTGTGTAGTGTAGTAATATGCCACCACCATATTACATCCAAGACGATTCACAATCATCCAGCAACCATAGAAAGGTCACTTTAAATGTTCGCAACTGCATCCCGACCGCGACTTAAAACTCTTATTTTGTAAATGAATTATCCGATAATTGTCAAGTACTTGCTTGCGAAGCCACGTAAGTACCCTTACGTTCCAGAGTGAGATCAACATACTATATTCTTAAGATATAAATAGCGAAGAATGTGCATTTTTACTCTGATAATGTACAATATGATATATATGGAATATATTCAGAAACAAAGCACATTGATTTCTAATTATTAGTTTAAACATTAGTTGCATTTGCCGTGAAATAACTAATTGACATCCTAATTCGTTCTTGTAGATCCAGTGTTCTCGCTGATCATTCTAAGCTCATAGTGTGTATAGTAGTATATGGAATGTGTACAGAGTATATACTTGTATACTATTCATGTATTAAGTATTTAGACTACACACTTACCAGTTGCATGTTCCAGGTGCGCGGTCGGGACTGTGTTGGCGCCGTCTCCGTATTTATCTTGTAGGAATTGACGCTAGTTGGGGACGACACGGTGACTTGAGCGCTGGTCTGCTTAGTCTGCTGCATTATCTTGCTAATGAGGTCCAGCTGCTCACGCGTCAACCCCTCACCCTCGAGCGTGGCGCCATCGCTGAGCGTAATAGTGGGCGAACTGGCGAGCAGAGGGCCGCTGCTCGAGGATGAGGATAACGACGAAGATGAGGACGATGCATTCGATGACGTCGACGTTGTGGGCGAAAGCAGCGTAACGCCTGTTTTTACGGGCAAGTTCATGGCTTTGATTTGCTCCTCGGAAAGCGCGATACCTGTCGCAGCATCCACGACCGTGCCGCCCGAAGAGATGTAGGTGCGAATGCAGGTGGCGCCATCTGGGGAGCTGGCATCGCCACTTGCTGTAGCCGGAGAGAGGCTTAGCGAGCTGGTGGCCACACTGCTGCTACTGCCGCCACTGGAGTTGGTGGTGGGTGAGAGCGACTGGTTCGAGGGCGTCACAATGCCGCCATGATGATTCTCGGTGTGGCGGCGAAGGGAACGCGCATCACAATAGGATTTGCCGCAACCCTCCGCCTTACACTCGTAGGGCTTTTTGTTCCGATGGGTCATCATGTGTCCGTTTCTGCAAGAAATGCTTTTAGTGCTCTATACCCAGCCTCGCATTCTCCCCCTCCCGTACTCACAGGTGATCTTGTCGCTTGAATGCCTTCGAGCAGAGCGTACAAATGTATTTCCGTTCGTCGCTGTGCGTCAGTTTGTGCTTGGCCAGCGCCGAGGCATTTCCAAAAATCTTGCTACAAATCTACAATTGTACATAGGCAGAGTGAAATGTAATTAGTGTTGGGCCACATAATTGAAATTGCTGCGGCTGTAGCGGCTGCTTTTGCTTTGGCTATTTTAATGAGCCGCACTGCGTATGCGTAATATTTGGCTCAATATACTATATGTACTTGCTGGGGTCGTTAAAATGCTGCCCCACAGCCTACCGAAACTACTTTGGACGGCGTTTGGACGGCGCTTTTATGTGCCAACTTTGTTATTTCGTTTTTCCCCTAACTATTAATGTTCTTGAGAGCAAGAAGAACCATTGTCTTGGCCCATAACGATTTTCTTCTTGTATGTGCCTCGATTTACATAATTTATTTGGTGTATCTTGAAACCTGCTGCAATATGTTGCCTGACCTTCTCGAAACTGTACAATACATACATCGTGTTTAACTTATAGAATTTAATAGTAGCCTGGTGCTGGACTGGATATTGTTTAGTTTTATTGGACAAAGTTCGATCTAAATGCGTTAAGATCGTTAGCAGTCTGATCCTTTTTGTGTTCAAAACTAAATTTTATGTCACCAATCAAATATAACTTCCAATTTCAAATCCAAAACAAACTAGGCTTCACTATTTTTAGTCAGTCACCGTTTTCATTGAAGTATTTGCATAACTTTCAACTCTTGAAATACGTAAGACGCTATTCATTATATGACCAGCTTAAGACTATTTATTGCAGGCCTTGTATAGCTATGAGTAAGAGTCGTTTCGTCAAATGAACAGGAGAACGTGTACGCCTATTCTGGCCTAACTAGCGCTGCCTGTGAACTGAAAACTGTGGTGGACAGTGAAGTGGCAGTACTTTGTGCGTCTGGCCATTTAATATGCAGTCGGCGCAGACTGACGTCGGCACGTGGGCATTCATTCAGATGCCTCTATAAAGTGTATAGGTAGATAGGTGTCTATGTATAGTACTCGTATGTAGCTTTGAGTGTGTGTGTGTGTATTGGAGTACGCAGCTGATGCCAGCTACATGGGCTTTTCGCTCAATTAGCGTGTTTTATTGGCTTCCACCATAACATATTCCTCCAAGTGGCACTGGCGACTGCTGCCTTTTACGAGCGCATTTACGTACTCCTACCTGTACGCCCACCCATCCCCCTGCCTTTCACGACCTTAATGTCTGTTTATAAATATTGCGCTCATATACTTACGCACGCACAGAGACCGACATCCATTTTAAAGCTTTTCAAGTGGCCACCAATAAATCAGCTATTAAACCGCAAAGACCAAACATCGAAAACCGAAAACCAAAAACCTCCAACCTCGACCAATGTTTCAATACGCACCTGACACTGTTGTGGTCCGTGGCGGGTCGGGGAGGATATTTTTGGGCGGCTCTTCTTGGGTGCGCCGCTGCCCGCCGCTGTTGGTGTGTTTGTGGCTGCCGATGCTGTGGATGCTGTAGTTGTTGTTGCAGTTGTTGTTACGCTAACGCCAGGAACATGTTTACCGTTGCTCTTAAAACTCAAACTATGATTGCTGCTACTGACAGTGCTGTCGTTGCTGCTGCTGTTGCTGCTGCTGCCGTTGCTGTTGCTGCTGGCAATGCTGACACTGCTGCCGACCGATGAGGCGTTGCTGAAGTTGCTGCTGTTGCTGCAGTTGCTGTTATTGTTGTGCTGATTGAGGAGACTGGCTGCGCTGCTCGTGCTGCTGTTGCTCATAATCTGCGCCAATGTGGTGACATTGGTGGCTGTATTGCTGCAGCTGCTGCTGCGAATCAGACAGTTCTTGATGTAGCTGGTGTTTGTCTTGCTGCTGGTGTTTGTGGAGGTGGAGACCGTTTGGACAGTTATCCTGTTGCTGCCGCTACTGCTACCACCGCTAATGTGGTTGTTGCTGCTACTCGTGGCGTTTGTGGTGCGTCGCGTTATCGTTATCTTGTTGGGATTGCTGAGATGGCTGCCAGTCGTTGTTGCTACGTTTACGGTCGCTGTATTGCTTTGAGTTGCTGATGCTGCTGCTGCTGCTGCGCTATTGTGGTTATTTTTGAGCGCTGCAATGAAACAAGAGATATTCTAACAATAATATCTATAACAATACTTGTATACAAATTTATGGATAAGCACTTAAAGAAGTCACTATTTCTATATGTATGTATATCACGTCGGAATATTTGTAGCCCCGAGCGCATTATGGACAAGTGCTTAAGTACTTACAGGCTGTCTGTATGGTTCCCAAAACATCAGCCAACATTTCCGGATCCGGATAGCCAATGGTCAATGCATTTTCTAATGCCGACGACGCCGAGGTCGTTGTTGTTGCCACTGTTGCCACTGTTGTTGCTGCTGTTGCTGTGACGCCATTTGTTTGGCTGACCGCTGTGGCCGTTGTTGTTGATTTGCTAATTGTAGCTACCGCATCCAAGGCGCTCGCATCTCTCAGCTGAAGTGTCACGGAACCCTCAGTGCCCACAGAGGCACTGCACATCAACACACGTGGCGTGCTTAGACTTGTCAATGGCAGATGAATGCTCTTTGGTACCTGCGGGTGGAGAGACTTATGAAAGATGAAATAGTCATGAACTGAAGGCACTGACAACACTTTGTCTAACATTTATCTATGTATATGTACATATACTCGTGTGTGTACTTATGTGTGCGTGTGTAAGTTTAGCCACATTTTATATAGCGCACAGCATGGATGCCAAAAGCGCCTGTCATGTGGGATTAGTTGAGATTATTGATAATTTACAGCAACTGTCGCCTAATGGCTGACGCTTCGCATAATTAATTGAATTTAAATGCATTTCACTTTGAGCTATTTTGCCAAGTATCCATGCAATATGCACACACACACACACATTATACAAACGCATACACATACAGGAGCACTTCTCAAAGTAAACATGGAAGTTAAGTATACGCCAAGTGGCCCAGGCAACTATATCGGACGGAAAACGGCAAATGGCAAGTGCGCCGTAATTCGGGCACCAAAACAAATGTAAAATATTTCGCTTATGAGTTTCATATAAATTTGGCACCTCACCCAATGCTCTTGATATCTTACGTCCAACAACATACAACAATGGCCCCCCATCTAATCCGTCTAGCCCGTCTGTATTTTTAGGCAGCCTTTTGAAATTCTCTGACTGATGCTGCCTCATTGTGTGTCCGTGTACTCTTGTATTAATTTAAATGCAATTAAAATGGGGCCATAATTCACAATGCAGACGACCAAAACGACCAGACACACTCACTAACTGCGGTGTACACTGGCCTAGGTTACGTTTATGATGCCATTTGCCAAATGGACATGAGGTGTGAGGCAATTAAAGCTTTATAAGCTGAAACAAATGCCAATTTAATGTAGCCTGCGATTGGGCAGCATTAGGAATTAAAAAAAAAGAACAACAGCAGAAAGTGGAATAACAAGTGCAAATAAATAAAATGCCAGTGAATATTGTTGCTATTGCTGTTACTGCAAAGCCTCCTCTGGAAACAATCCCAAGACCTGCGACGAAGTCGGGGCATAAATCAGAGCGAGAAACGCATAAAAATCGTGTCGAAAAATAAACATTTTGTTATTGTTAATTTCTTTGCCACGGAAAATAACAAGATATAAAAAATAAATACAAAAAAAAAAAAACAGAACACCCATAATATAGTATGTATAAAGTCTCTGCCGTACTCTGGCGGGGCGAATTGGAGCAACAAAAGCAGCAAATACTGAATAAGCAGCGGCAGCCACAAGTGGCTGTGTTTTGTTAATGCCAACCTAACCAAGATTGTTTATTTTAAATTTTCTACAGATGGGTCTTTCACTAGACCCAACATTAGGGTGGCCACTCAGCACGAGCTTTCCGCCCATCGTCACTCGTAAATGTTTTCCTGCGACTATTACGATAACCTTGCAGGGTCTACGAAACAATTTAAGTGCGCCCTGCCACCTTGTATATATTGAAGCGCATTAAATGTAAAATTACGTGCATTGAGTTTGTAATACACATAACGATTTTGTAAATAGCGAGTTGAACATTTTGCTCGCCAGCTGCAAGTCGTCTTTTATTTTCATTAAACCTTAAATTAAGAATATACGAATAAATGCTGTTGCTGAAATGTCCAACTTGACCAGCTGCCAGAGAGTTGTTTTATGTAATTAAAATTACAATTCCTTGTTAAAACAATTACAATATACAAGTATTTCATTTTCCCTTTTCGTTTGTTATTTATCCAAATGCTTGTAGAAAAACCTGCCGTAATATAATTGCAATATTCAAGATAACAAGATAATCAATTATAATTTATAAATAAGACTCTTTCGACTCTTTTGCTTCGAATCCAATGTTTGATTTATAAAAATTCAATCATGAGTAAGTACATTATCAACACTTTCGGTTAAGTTGAGTTGTAATGACTGAACGTTGGTGAATACTATTTATTTGATCGCGCTGCTCTTAACTGTAACAATCAAGAATGGATCACCCTATCTCGAGTCAGCTGTAACTGTTTGCCCAACTTCTTTGGTATTTACTGTGCTTAGCCATAAATTATGCGAATCTTAAATCATTGAATGTATGAAATACAGCTTTTTTTCTTTCACGAGCTGGAAGATTTATGCTCATGTACTATCTTCAGTGTGCTGATGATATTCGCGGATGTACGCATTGTGGCATCATTTAAAAGGCCCAGCTGCCAGATGCCAGCAATGACAACAGCAACATGTCCGCATATCCTGTTACGACATGCCGCCAAGATTACCTGCTGCATTATTCACATAGCTCGAACGCGCACACACACACACACACACACACAAACACGCACACACACGCACGCACTCACATGCGTTGATTTATTTTTACTGCATGATTCACGTGTCAATCAAATGTCAATGTCACTCCAAAAATTGTGTAATAACCGCATCGACGAGGTCGTGGAAAAGATGAAGCGCAGACTTGACTGCCGGCTCGCCATTTCATTGACGAGCCTCTGGGTCCCGGACTTTGCGGAGCAATTTATATTATTTTGTTCAGCAACTAGTAACGGGGCCATTAAGATCCTTAGGAAAACGAGGACTTAGCGCTTATGCCGCTGAGGTTTTGGCAACCCTTTCATTTTACATGTGTTGTATTTTCTGTTTAAAGACAGATAACTAACACTGTTTGAATTTCATTAATCCTGTTTTAAACTGTCCAATATTTGGCTGACTTTAGAAGTGACTCTTGTTTACTATATTTCCAAATCAGCAGGCAACTCCTTCAGCAAATAATAATAATAAAGTCAAAAATGAAATGCCGTGTGTCCTGTGTACTTGGATACATAATCGACAGCCTTAAGTGCATACTAAATGTCAACGCACAACTTTAATGTGCCCTGCTTGGCAATTTGTCATCGGCTTTTGCTTATTAGTAAAATGAGCTGAAACACATGTCTTCCAAAACGTTTACGCACACAAAGGTGGGGCGGGGCGGGGCGGGGCGGGGCGGGGCGGGGCGGGGCGGGGCGAGGCGAGGCGAGACGAGGCCAGACGAGGAGAGGTGGAACGAGGCTAGGCAACCCAATGGCTTCGTCATCATCAATAACAGATTCATCAACGTCGTCGTCTATACGCCGATCTCTCAGTACACTACCATAGCTGTCTGTTTATTTCAATTTAATTTTTTAGGCATTTCATGTATGTGTATATTCCCATGTATGTATGTAACTATGTATTTATGTATGGGTGCCTTTGAACTGTTAAATTATGGCAGTTTTTGGCACGCAATTATCACAAATTGCGCAATTTTGTTGTTTGAGTGTTTCAATGTATTACATGGCGTATGCGCAATGTTTTGAGTTAAATATTTGATTAGCTCTCTTATTTTAACTATTTTATGGCACTTATACAGTTTGCATTCAATTTTAATGAGCGTTTCATTTGCGCTGCCATGCAACATGGCGCATGAGTAATATCTAAGCTATCGTACTTATATATACATACATATATGTATATATACACACACACAATCGCACACATACAAGCAATTAAATGTTATAAATAAATGATATTTATGTTTAAATAGAGAAGGAGAGACGAATATACTAAGTACAAGTATATGTATATGTATATATATATATGCTATATATTATTGGACTTTATGAATGATTGCACAGAAAAATGGGGTGCTTTGTTGTTTTTGTTGTTGTTGTCGCTGTTGTTGTTCACCTGCTGTTGTTGTTCATATTATTTTTGTTGTTGGCATTGCTTTAGATCGCGTACTTACCGTATTAATGGCTGCCATCGCACTTGACGCAGTTGCTGGTGCTGTTCTTGTTGTTCTTGTTGTTGTTGATGATGCTTGTTGTTGTTGTTGTTGTTGTTGTAGTTGTGGTAGTGGTGGTGATGATGGGGGTACAAAATCAAAAATCTGCAAAAAGTTTTGTATGATTGCTGTTTTGTAAAAGAATATTTGTCTGCATCTTTCTTCTTCTTCTTTCTTTTTTTTTGATTCGTTTCGTTGACGAAAAAACTGAACAAAACACAAATGCTTAAAGATGTGCGCATAAAATCGAAAAAGAGACCCAAAAGCAAAAGCAACAAAAAAACAATAGAAACAAACTCATTCATATGTATATGTAAGTAGCAAACCAAAAACGAGACGCACGACGAATCAGAGGGGGCGAAAGCAACGTAACGCATAGAGCTTGTATGCGGGATGCGAATAAAGATACAGATAGATATATACAGATATATAGGAATGTATAACACAATCAAAAAGTATGAGTTAAGTGACAAGAGCAACGCGCTGGCTTAGCGTTATGGTAAAAGGGGTGGTGGTCATTGATCGATTGTCTGCCAAGCAAAATGATTACTGACTGACTGACTGACTGACTGACTGGCTGACTGACTGTCAGTCTGACTGATTGAATGGCTGACTGTAGTGCTTGGAGTAATGCAGGCTCCAAACTCGTGAATCCCATCATGCAATTGTCAATTTTTTGCAATTCACGAATTGAAGAATCCGCATCAACATCGGCTGCACAGAGGCTTATATAGTACATATGTATGTACATACATATGTCTGCTTTTGTACGAGTATGTTTGAATGAAAGTGTGTATTTTTGTGTCTGTGGCGAGGTTGAGCATTAGGAGTTGGATTAGATTCTGTTTCGTGGCAGTGAAAATATTCTTTAGCCATCTTTTGCGGCCTTTGCAAAACGAAACGAAACCAAACGGAATTTCCCTTTTCCAAATTTTTTGAACGCAAATACGTACCACCCCACAATATGCACTGCATACAGATTCTCAGTTTGGTTTTGGGGTTTTGGGGTGGTGCGGGGTGACGGAGGAAAGGGCGGCATATGACAACAGTAGTTGGCGCACTTACGAAAATTTCAAATATTCTGGGCACTCGTTCGTTTTGCATTGCTAGCAAGTTTCTCGTTCATCCTCAACGCCGCTGTTTGCCTGACGTTGCGCATACACTCTCATATACAAATATACGTACACAATTACAAGTATGTGTATGCATCTATGTGCATATGTACATATGTACTCGTATGTATGTATGTAGCATGCATGGATGTCTCTTCGTGTTTTATTTATTTTTGTACACAATAGTTTTTGCCAGCGGCTTGAATGCTTATTTTTGTTTTAGTTATTTAATTACAATTTTCTGCAGTTTTATTTTTAATTTAATTCATGTTTTCCCAACCCGCGCCGTCTTCATGTTGAAACATGCGCCAGAAATGCCACAAAAGAAAAACTAAGAAAAATTGGCAAAAATGGGTCTTTAATTGGATTAAAGCTCTTTTGTAATACCCTATTCCAATATTGCATCTAAGCATTACATTTCTCACTATGTTTCCAAATACATACGCGTATATACCGTTATATGATCAAACTTAATAATGGCAAATAAGTGAATACGAAGAGAGTCTAATAATTTCATTTATCAAAAGTTTCATTTAAAGTTAATCAAACCACTTCAAAATGTTAACCTGAATTACATATACATCAGGCAAAAAGAAGAGGGAGCTTCACAATACTATACACAAAAATGTTGTTTTATGCTCAAATATATACTCTAACAAGATTTTGTAGTATAACACTAATATAAATTAAATAAAAAAATATTATTTATCTGAGAATAATATATAATATTGAATTAGAACATTTATTGATATCGAAAAATGATTTTTTAGATTCAAGTATCTGTAGGAAAGTATGATAATTTCATTTAGAGGGTATGCAAAAGCGATTGTGAAATGAACATCGACCAACAAACGATCGAGACGAATAGAAGGCGCTGGCAGCTGACTACGGTGGTGTTTTGGCAAAGGACGGGGCAGAGGAGGGACACACGCGTACACATGTTGTCAGACATCAGGCCATCAAATAAACACACATACACACACACACGACCCATGGGAGCTGCACTAGAAAGCAGCGAACAGATGCAAATGCATGCGTAAGATACTCGTGTTCAGTTTTTAAGCAGCATCGACAGCGGCGGCTAATGTGAGGGCCAAGCCAAAGTATCTTTGGGCAGCCACTCGCTCCAATGTGTCCTATGAGTATGACTGTCTGTTTTTTAATTAAAAATATGCCTGCACAGTGGTACGCTGGCACACTGTGACACTGTGACAGTGTGAGAGTGTTACAGTGGGTCGGCGTCGAGGCTAGGGCGGCAGTAAGCGCTCGGAATGTTGTCGAGCGCGACGACAATTTGTTTCTGAAAATGTTTGGCAAGGTGCCCAGTGAAACACACTAATGAAGAAAGCCAAGGCGCGCTACAATAACAACAACAACAGCAGCAACAATATCTAAAACAAAAAAGCCAACGACAACAACAACAAAAAGCGCCAAGAAGTAAAGAGAAAACAAAGAATAATCGGCAGCTACGTCAGCGATAGGAAAGAAGTCAAGAATTCCATAAGAAACAGAGATTTTGTTCCCAAAGACCTTTTGTGGATAGATCATAAAATTGATTTACGTTGCAAACAGCTTTTTGTTCGCACTCACTTAGTGTCCGAGAAGCGCAACAAATTATTTAATTACAATAACAATTGCCATATTTATGGCGTTGAAATGTCCAGCATTGCGCATACGCCCCGTGTCAACAGCTGCATGCATTATAAAACTAATAATATTTATAATAGCACAGACCAAATTAGATGTCAAGCAGAAATATTTTCAATGCTAGGCGAAATACTCGGATTCGTAGGCAAGAATAAAAAGAGCCACTAAAAATATTTCACGGCTGCATGGTCGAGGAAAGACACAAAACGGCCACAATGATGCTGATGATGCTGATGGCGATGATGATGACGGTGTCAGCGGCTTTTGGCGGCGGGGCGGCGGAACATATCGAAATCAAAATCCAATTAAAATCATTCGCGGGCATTGTGAATAAACAAACAAGCGGCAAACGCATGATATACTTCTTTCTATATAAACGCCGATGCCGATGCCGATGCTGTTGCCGTTCCTACCAACTACTTATTTAGCCGGTCGATTTGTTTTTGTTTACACTCGTATTTGTATATGCAAATATCTGGCTGTCGACAATCGTGTTGCATCTGATTTGGCGGCTAATAAACAAAAACAAAAACAACAACATCATTAAAATGGAGTGGACAACGTCAAGTAGCCGCAAAATCTTTGATGATTCAATACTCGTATCAGATAAGTTCCGTGCTCCGTCTGTTCTGACTTTTGCCGCTCCTAATTAGAGTGTTAATTTTGACACGTGTGTGGAAAAACGTTCACTGACAGTTGCCCACCCGCTGGGATTTACAATTTGATTTAATTATCGAACACTTTACCTAACGAGAGCGCTGCGCTCATAAACTGCCTCCCACAGACATATACATACAGTGGCCCACAACTTATTTTATGCCGTACATATTTTCGTCTTTGCAATGAAACTATAATGCCTTAAACGAACATTTTCATACTATTTGAAAGTTCTAAATTTCACGTTTAATATAGGATTATAGTTATTGGGCCCAGTAACCAGTAACATTTTACAAACAAATCCAAAATTTACCTTCCAAGTTAAAAAATCAGAATAAAATGATTGTAAAATCAGTTGCAGAATCAGATCAAAAGCATAAAATTATAAAGAACGCAACATTGAAGTACCATTCCATAAAAAAGTGCATAAAATAAGCTGTGACATAAAAATATGCAGTATTTTTATAGCCTGTACCCAAAGGGTGAAAGGCTATACTAGTTTTGTGCGCATGTATGTAACACACAGAAGGAGGCGTGGCAGACCCCACAAAGTATATATATTCTTGATCAGGATGAGAAGACGAGTCGATATAGCCATGTCCGTCTGTCCGTCTGTCTGTATGAGCGCAAGGATCTCAGTAAGTACAAGAGCTAGGATAACCAAAATTGGTATCAAGGTTATTTTTTCTGATACACCCCCCCACTCCCCCGCAATTCGTATTTTTTCTTATAACTTCCGTAATTCTCGGAATTTAAATTTTTGGTAGGTACATCCAGTTAGTACTAATGTGTCCGTGTGCCAAATTTCATCATGATAGGTCAATTCTGAAGAAAGTTATAGCCATAAGTAAAATCGCTGCTCATGCGCTGCCTGCAGCTCTGTCGGCAGCGCTGCCCGCAGCTGTTGTTGTTGTTGCTGCTTTTGTTCAACTTTGTGCTGCAACATACACGCATATGAACACGCATAGGTACGTGATGTAAATGTATGCTGTTTAAACTGAACATAAACATGTATTCTAATTTAATTAAATTAATTATTTTAATTAATTAATTCATTCATTTTTTTTAATAATTTAATTTTTTTTTAATTTTTTTTTTTTTTAATTTTTCCTTTTTGTGGAGAGTACAGGCTATTTTACTGTCGGGCTTGCTCGACTGTAGCGTTCTATCTTGTTTGTTTATGGTACTATTAAATGGTCATTTATTGCTAATAAATGAAATCCCATGTTAAACTAGAGGTTATGCTTTTTCAAATGGTACCAATATTTTCGTTAAAGGCGTAATAGTTGTTACAGACCTCTAAAGCCGAGAATATACACTGCATAAAATAAACTGTGTACATATATTCCTCACTGTACATAATTTCCCACAAAAACATTTTCATCATACACATACATAGTATGTAAGCACTGGCCATACTTCAATCAAATACGGACTAGTTCCAGAAGATACACACTGGGGCTACTTCGATTTAGATTAAATAATCTAATTAAACAAAATAGTTCGAGTATTATTGTAAAGCCTGTTACGTTTAATCGCATTGCTGTGTCTCTAATCAAATACATCATAAATGGATTTATAGAAACCAAACTGCCTAAATATACTTCTGCTAACTCTTTAATCATTGAAAACCCTGCACAGC